CAGCCGACTGCCATGGCTGGTCACCATAGAGAGGCAGAGAAAGCGCGTACATGGGGGAAGAGAGTGCGAAGCAGAAGCAGAGAGAGTTTAAATCAGCCTTGTAGAAATGGAGCCTTATTCTTCTGAAATGGGAGACAAAGTAGATGATTTCAGTGTCCTCTGAAACTTAAGGGAACAGGGTCCTGTTGTAGAAGCTGTGTATGAAGGGTGAGTCTCAGGTGGAGAAGTAAAGGGCTTGAGGTAGGATAAGTGAATCCAGTGGAGAAGGCCCTTAAGCTTAGCTGCTGTTGGAGTAACAAGCATCACTTTGAAGGGGCCCTTCCATTTAGGGGGGGAGGGGCTCTGGTCTGGAGGAGAAAGAAGTACTTGATCCCTGATATTAATTGGGGAGGTACAGGGGGTAACACATGGTCAAGGTAGAGCGTGGTCAGCAAATTCCCATAGGAGGGAACGGAGATGATGAAGTAAAGGTGTAAGCAGGTGGTCAGGGAGAGGTGAGAGTTTAGGTAAGAGGCCAGGTGTTAGAGAACTCATGAACCCATACATGAGTTCAAAGGGTGAAATGAAAAGCGGTTGTTTAGGGAGAGCCCTAGGCCTGAAAAAGGGCCAGAGGCAGAAGCTTTACCCAGTCAAGGTGAAGTTCCTGTGACATTTTAACAAGAACAGTCTTTAAAGAACGGTTAGTTCCCTCTACCTTCCCTGAGGACTGGGGGTGATATGGAATATGAAAATGCCAAGGAATATTGAGAACTTGGGATAGGGTTTGAGAGATCTGGGAGGCAAACTCAGGACCATTGTCTGACTGAAGAGAGGCTGGAATCTCAAACTGGGAAATAATTTCCCTGAGAAAAATGTCAGAGACTGTCTGAGCTTTCTTGTTAGTAGTAGGAAACGCCTCTACCCACCCTGAGAAAGTATCTACTAGTACCAGGCGGTATTTAACTCGCCTAACTGTGGGCATGTGGGTAAAGTCAAGTTGCCAGTCAGTCCCTGGGAGAGAGGCCCCTAGCCTGGTGGGTGGGAAAAGGGGAGTTATGATATCTGGAGTCAGGGTTTGACATCTGACAGGTTTTACAAGAGGCAGTGATAGTTTTTAAGAAATTTAAGTCCTCAGAGGTAGGTTGGAGGTGAGCCTTGACAGAGAAAGCCTTACTGTTAGGGTGGAAGAGCTGGTGTAAGTAGGACAGAATTTGTCTAATGTCAGGAGGTGGCTGTGAGGATGTGGGTTGTAGTGTATGGATTCCCTGTTGTGGGTGAGGTAGATCTGGGCCTGGGGGGGGGGGGCTGCAGCCCTGGCTGCTTCATCAGCCCGGTTGTTGCCCCTGGAGATAAAAGAGCTGTCAGTCTGATGTGACCGGCAGTGAATAATTCCTATAGCTTTGGGGAGGCGAGAGGCCTTTAGCATGGCCATAATATAACCTGAGTTATATTATGGATCCTCCTCTTGTAGCAAGTAGCTCACGTTCCTTCCAAATAGCTGCATGGGACAGGAGGATATGAAAAGCATATTTAGAGTCTGTGTAAACATTTAGAAAACTAAATTCAAACCACAACTTAAAAAATAAAAAAAAAGTTCAAACACAATTACCCAGTGTGGGTGGACAATGTTGTTTCTAGAAAACAGGAGTTTATTAAATGAAAATTGCAGAGATACCTCCTCAGGAATTAGGGTCAGAAAGACCCAGGGCTTTCCAAAGTAACAGACTACTACCATTGCTTTTGGTTACCAATCACAACTATGCTGTAAAACAACAGTGCTAAACAAACCACACTTTGGCTACAGGACATAAGAAATCTTGCTGCTACTTGTACAGCTACTTTGGAAATCAGTTCCTCAGGAAAATGGGAATCAGTCTACTTCAGGATTCAGCAACTCCACTCTTAGGCATATACCCAAAAGATGCACATTCATACAACAAGGACATCTGTTCAACTACGTTTATAGCAGCATTATTTGTAATAGCCAGAACCTGGAAGCAACCTAGATGCCCCTCAAATGAAGAATGGACAAAGAAAATGTGGTAAATTCACACAATGGAAGGTTACTCAGCCAAGAAAAACAATGGAATCTTGAAATTCACAGGCAAATGGATGGAACTGGAAGAAACCATCCTGAGTGAGGTAACCCAGTCACAAAAATACAAACATGGTATGTGAAACGTTCAGGCTCTAACTCACTCTCCGTGATATAATAAACTGGTTAATGTATTCTCTTAGTCTCATGTCTCATTCTGGGCCTCTTCTTTACTTCTAACTAAGCAAAAGCCAACAGTATGTACTCACTCATATATGGAAATTAGACATAGAGTCTACATTACCAGCCTACAATCCACACCTCCAGAGAAGCTAGGAAACAAGGAGAACCCTAAGAGAGACATATATGGTCCCCCGGAGAAGGGGAAAGGGATAAGATCTCCTGAGCAAATTGATAGCTGGGGTTGAGGTGAGGGAGTTAGGAGAAAGAGAAGGGGAGAAGAGGAGGCGGGGAGGAAGACATGAGGGAGCAGGAAGATTGAGTCAGGAGAAGAATAGGGGAGAATAAGAAAACAGATACCTTAATAGAGGGAGCCATCATAGGTTTAAAGAGAAATTTGGCACTAGGGAAATATCCAGATATATACAGGATGACCCCAACTAAGACTCTAAGCAATAGTGCAGAGGTTACCTTAAATGCCCTTCCCCTATAATGAGATTGATGACTACTTTACATGCCATCCTAGAGCCTTCATCCAGCAGCTGATGGAAGCAGAAGCAGAGATTCACAGCTAAGCACTGAGCCGAATTCCTGGAATCCAGTTGTAGAGAGGAAGGAGGGATGACCAAAGGGGTCAAGACCAGGCTGGGGAAACCCACAGAAACAGCTGACCTGAACAACGGGAGCTCCTGGACCCCAGACTGACAGGCTCGGAAACCAGCATAGAACAGAACCAGGCCCCCTGCATGTGGGTGTCAGTTATGAGGCCTGAGCAGTCTATGGGGCCTCTGGTAGTGGAACAGTATTTATCCCTAGTGTATGAATGGACATTGGGAACCTATGACCCACAGAGGGAAACTCAGCCTAGACACACAGGGGAGGGTGTAGGCCCTGCCCCAAATGATGTGACAGACTTTGAAGATCACCATGGAAGGCCTCAGCCTTTCTATGGAACAGAAGAGGGATGGGGTGGGGTCAGTGAAGGGCATGGGAGGATGCGAGGGAGAGGGAATTGGGATTGATATATAAAATAAGATTGTTACTGATTTGAATAAAAATTAAAAAAAAGAAAGTAATAGAAATCTTGCTGCTATCTAGCTTTCAAGATTCAGAAGGTGCTATTAAGGGTGCTGGGTGAGAAAAGACATCAATAGTTTTACTTCTAATACTGGCCCCTCATGTGGCAATACCAACCTGCCACACAAGACATGCCCACTGGAGCAATAGTACCACAAGAGTTACAAGGGTAACTAACTACTTTCAAACCGTATTTGAGGCCCACTCCACAGGATGAAATGTCATGCCTGGTACTGCAATAACTGTTAAAAGCTCATGTTGAGGAGGTCATGGGCCCTAGGGTAGAACCTGATTTTGTTATTTTGTGAAATGGTCATGCTGTCCAAGTGCCTTATAAATATTTATGTTTAAACTTGCAGACCTGGCCGCTGGCCCTCAACCCCAGTTAAAGAAGCTTTTTTCTGTAGTGCTGTCTCAAACCCTGGGACAAATGTTGGAGGGGCCTATTTAACATATCAAAGCAAACCTTGCAGGCAGGGTCTTCCTGCATTCCTCAGCCCCTACCTGTAACAAGGTCCTCTGGGCTAGCACACAGCCAATCCCTACCACTAACCCTGGGGGGGGGGGGGGGTTTGAGGAGGGGAGGCTGCTCTTCCCTATAAGATCTAACCATTATGGCTCCCTAACCTTTTTGTACTTTTGTCTCCTGGCTGCTGCAACTGGTTCCCCTCTCCTACCAGGGCACATGGTTATATCCACTTTGGACTCTCTCAGATGTCTCTGACCCTGGCTATGCTTTCCTTTTTATCTACAATAAGCTTTCTCCTCCACCACAGGGACACTCGTGTCCTTTCCTTTTTATCTCTTTTTTTCATTCAGGCAGCAATCAACAAAGAGATGACAGTAAAAGGCCAAGTGCTCCATCCTAAATGGGGTACCTATACCTTCCCCCAGCCCCCTCCACCACTATTCAAGGAACATCTCAGAAGAGGGGGCAGAAGAAATATAAGAGTCAGAGGACGGGGAATGCTGTCTTCCAGACATGACAGAATTATTGTACCCATGATCTTGGACCAGCTCCGGTCGCCTGCACAATATCTGGCATAGATGGGGAAGTACTGTACAGGCACACCACTTACTGAGTAGTTATTGGCAATTAACAGTTTTCTGGAAAATCATTCTGTTTTGAGGAAATAGCCACTGATAGGATTCTCTTTCCAAACACGCATGCACATACTGGCAGAACTAACTGCTGAATTATATAATAACATTATTATTAGTAGCATAAATTTGGAAGGGTGTGCTCGAGTATAGAAGAGTTGCTGGAAGGAGGAATAGGGGTGGATATGATATTTCATTGTATATGTGCATAAAAATTCCAACAATACACAGAAAAAAATTAAAAGAACCCAGAGGGATCATAGGGGTAAGCTAAAGCAGGATTGCAAGAGAAAAGCAGCGCTCAGCATCCACGCCCTTCACAGCACAGCCTGGCGTCTGAGCAGCACTAACCCGCCGGCGGCAATGTCTGCGGAGGCTGAAATTCAAGACCCCGAAGCATCCCGACCGGACCTGGACTGGAGTGAAGCAGCTTCACAAGAACAGGCAGGATAGCAGCCTCCCTGCCTCTTGCTCTGCTCACACTTTAAGAGCAGGAGGTGAGACGGTGCAGCTCCTTCAACGCAAACTCAGCTGCACAGCGTCAGGGCGGCGGTGACATGTTACACCAAAGCCGCAGCAGTGCCACAACCCCGCCGCTAACGACTCCAGGGGCCCGGGGCGCACTCACCATTTCCTGCTTCTGATGCAACCAGGTGTCTCCGGCAAAGGGCCTACCATCAGCAGGAGGCATGGTCACCAAGGTCGGGGGACCTTTCAACGGCTTCCGGGACTCAAACATGGCGTTAACGGCCACACCTCCCGAATATCCGTGCTTCTCATTGGACAGTTAACGCGAAGTCATAACAGCATCGTCCCTGGTTGGGGAATGACAAACAAGGTGAAGGGGATGGGGTGGGGACGATGGGAATTTGGGAGGGTTGGGAGATTGTAGGTTGTGGGTGGGAAGCATTTTATAAACTGGAAATTAGCCTTCCCTGCAGGGTTACAGCTGTAACCACAGGTTTCCCCAGTGACCTCTTTTTACCTCTGTTTCCCTCCTGGAATAAACCTGGTCCAACCTGGGGTAACCTTGCATTTAAGGAAAACATGTTCGGGTTTTTAGAGCCGCTTCCCGGGTGTATTTAGTGGGCCACGATGGGTTCTTCCACTTAGACATAGTGCCACGAGTTTGATGGGGCAGCAACCACACTCAGTACCTTAGGAACACAAGGCAAGATGTCAGGCGAGGAGAGGTCCCTAGCTCAGTCTAGACACAGTGTCGGGAAGAACGGCCTGGTTTGCAGGCTCCGGGATGATGCATGTGAGCTACAGCTGAACCTTCTGTAAGGCCGATTCACGGATCAGAGCATCAGGCATGGGAGAGAGTTTGGAGTGTCACAGCCCATTACCTTGGGCCCTTCTTAGCCCTCCGAACAGCCATCTGTGGTCACCTTGTGTACCTAACCTAACAACGTTCTGACTATTATGTCAATCGTTTGGAATGTACAATAGAACAGCACTCTCCTTTGGAATGTACAGAGCACTAATTTTCTATTCAACCAAAAGGCCAGAACACAAGATCAGACAACATCTGAAGTCTACTCCAGAGGTTTCCCCCCTTTGCTGTCTAACCTGTCTACCTAATGTTTCCAGAGGTGAATTTTTAAAAGTGTCTTGATTTTTATGATTTCTTTATTCTATTGCCATAAAACTTCATATTCATATTGGAATATAAAAAGTAGGGTAATCTAAATTCTGTGTTTCTGTGCTGCGGCCACTTATATTTAGCCTCAGAGTAAACAAATTCCCTTTGAAATGAATATTGCTTTTGGGTTGACAGGCTGGTGCCCAAGGCTTTCTCACACCTTGTCTTTCAATCCAGCCATTTGCAGGCAAGAAAATTAAAACACACCAAGAAGGATACAATTACTCAACTGAAGTATGTGAGTGTGTCTCTCTGTAGTTACATTGTAGCAATAGTATATAAAGGATTCAAGAGGTATGTAAGGGAACCCTTAAAAGTCTTCAAAAGGAGAGGTTTCTATGTGCAGATTCATATAAAAGCCTGCATTCACAAGTGCAAACATTCCCAAGACCCCGCACCGCATGAGCTGGTGACAGAGATTACCAGAGTGGTCATTCACTACTGATGACTGAGAGACCTTGTTCTAACAGGTTAACTCTGGGAGCTCACCAGGACATGTCTCAATTCCTCCATTATGAAATCTTTCTTCAACACCTTAGTATTCATAAGAACAATGTAATCCCCATTCATGCTAATATTTAAACCCCCAAAAGCTACTACAGTAGAGGGACTATTAGGGAAAGACAGGAGGATATAGGAGGCTAGGCATGAGAGAGGGAAGAATAGTTGTTGAGAGGTCACATATGATCAATTCATGATAAGTCACAAGGAAAGCCATTAATATGTTTAAAAATATGGTCTAATAATTTGCTAATTAGATTTTTAATATTTTATTTGTGAGACAAGGTACTACTGTGTGTGCACCATACCTAGACTTGAATTTGGTATGTGGACCAGACTGTTTTCAAACTTGTGAAAACCGTCTCAAATCCCAAGAGACTGTGTTATAGGTATGTGGTACCATATAGCCTGGAGTACACAGCTCATCAGAAACAAAAGAGAGAACTGTGTCCTACAAATTGTCCCAATATTTAGACACTCAAGGTGTCTAAACACACACACACACACACACACACACACACGACAGCAATCTTAAAATATGCCACTCATGTACCACACCAAGGAAAGGACAGAATATCAAATCCTGAAAGCAAGTTTTCTGAATTACTCCAGAAAGTCAAGGAAAAGAAGAAATTATAATCACAATTTTTAAGGTTTCCTGTGCATGATTAAGAGAACAAACTTTTGAAAGTGTTTCAAACCTAAATAGTTGCTGACATGCTACTTACAGAAGGAAAAAAAAATTGAGTATCAAAGTCTGTAATATGATGTGTGAAAAACCTCTCAAGGGAATGCATTGTTCAGGAGGGTTTGTACATGACAATGAAAAGGACAACTGACATTTTAAAATAAATTGGCTAACATACCCTACCATAGTGAATAATTAGTCTAAGTATGATTGTGTATTACCATAATAACAGTGTCTAGGAAGATGAGAAAGGAAGACAGGAAGCTTGGGCATTCAAAATTGAAGGATCTCAGCTCTGTAATTCAAAATTGATGAAATATTCAGCTATAAGAGACCTTTTTACAGTAATTCATTATGCATAAACTTTCCTTTATGCACAAAATTATTTAAAGTATTTTATTGAAAATTATTTTCATGCAGTATATTTGGATTATTTTATCAAGTCACCTTTTGGCTCTACTACTTTTCTACAAAACTTGAACTCAGTCTTCAATAAATTACATTAAAGATATTCAACTATTTCAAATTCTACAACATCTGATGTTCAGTTTTGTTCATTGTGGCACAGACAATGTTTTTCAAAAGCCTAAAAGCAACAGTGTTGCAGAAACTTATGATTTTGTATGTTGTCCTTGAGACCTCTAGATGAATAGTCACTGCTTTACTTACTGTTCACAAATTCTTAAAGAACAAAGGTCAACAATTTCTGTATTTTCCCTTGGGTCCATGTCTTTCTATGCAGTCAAGTTGACAGCCTCAAGTACAGCCTCCTGGCACTGCCTTTGGAATACTGTAACATTCCAGAGTCACTACACTGACCCCCAACAAGTCTCTAATTCTACACCCTAATCACCAAAGTGCTGTAATGATCTTCTCAATTTTTTTGTAGAACTTGATAATTAAGAGAGACTGTGAATATGAACACGGTAATCAGTGTGCAGAAGCCCAGCAAGACAGTCTATAAGGCATTGTTAATGAAGACATGTCTCCTGCAGTAGCAGTGTGTGAAAGCAGTTTGTATAAGAGATCATTGTGTAAGAGATCATTTGTATAAGAGACCATTGCCCACTCACCCTCAGATACGCACTCCAGAGGCAAACATGAAGGGAAACTGAATCAGAAGATGTGGAAAGGGATTTATTTTTTATTTATTCATTTTTATTTAAATTTAAAAAAATATTATTTTACATACCAATTCCAGTTTCCTCTCCCTCCCATGTCTCCCACCAACTCCCCCATCCACTCCCCAGGGAGGGTGATGTCAAAGTCTGTCACATCATTTGGGGCAGGGCCTAGGCCCTCCTCCATGTACCTAGGCTGAGAGAGTATCCCTCCATTGGGAATGGGCTCCCAAAGTCCATATACTAGGGGAAAATACTGGTTCCACTGCCAGAGGCCCCATAGACTGCTCAAGCACCCCAACTGGCACCCACATTCAGGAGGCCTGGCTCGGTCCTATGCTATTTCCCCAGCTGTCAGACTGGGGTCTCTGAGCTGCCACTTGCTCAGGTCAGCTGTTTCTGTGGGTTTCCCCAGGATGGTCTTGACCCCTCTGCTCAACACTCCTCCCTCTCTACAACTGGATTGCAGTTCGGCTCAGTGTTTAGCTGTAGATTTAAACATAAGAAATGTTGGGCTCTTGCTCTCTTTCTGCTCTCTTTCTGGCTCTTGTCTCTCTCTGCTCTCCTCTCTTTCTGCCCCTGTCTCCCTCTTCTCTTCTGTCCTCCCTCTGTGTCTCTGTGTTTCTTTACCTCTATTTTCTTTCCTTCCCCCTTCCCTTTCTAATAAAACTTCTCATAGAAAGAAGGGAACAAAGAAAGAAAGAAAGAAAGAAAGAAAGAAAGAACGAAAGAAAGAAAGATTGGAATTTTTTCACTCATTCTGAGTCTTTCTGTCTCTTTCACCTCACCTAGCAATGCATCATCTGATATAACATGTTTGCCCATCCTTAGTGACTTTGACATGAACTGCTTCCTGATAAACACTGGTGGCCAAATTTACCCAAGGGAAGACTACCCCTGGGGTTTTACTTTCTTGAATGAAATCACTGTGACTGTCAGGAGAAGGAAATATGCAAATATATTCTGTAGCATTTATTTTGTAGAGCCTGTAGTGTTATAGCTCTGACGGAAAAGATTTTCCCAATGGAAGTGTTACAGCTCTAAAGGGAACAGTATCCTGATAGTCAGGAGCCAAAGAATGCCCCAAAGTAACACTGCACAACAAAACCTCACACAGGAGATTTATTGGGAAAGGCACAAGAGGACAGTTGCCTCTGCTCCAGCAAGAAGCAACAGGGAACTGAAGAAGAAACAGGCTTGTATGGGGTTTCTTAGGGGAGGAGTTTTCCAGGGTGGAGATTTCCAGGATAGGCATTGGGGGGATTTCATGTCCTGAGCTTGGGGCAAGCCGGGGGCTTAGTGGGATTTTGAGTTTAGGGATTAGTGGATTTTCAAGATCAGAGATTGGTAAATTTGGGGGCTCAAGAACTGGTTGTAGGCAGACTTTTCTGTCCCTCCAGTCAGTTCCCAAATAATCAAACAGAGACTTGTATTAATTATAAATGCTCAGTTGATAGCCCAGGCTTGTTGCTAACTAGCTCTTACATTTGAAATTAACCCGTATTTCTTAAACACTGTCACATGGCGGTACCTTTTTTCAACATGGAAAGTTCATCTTGCTTCTCTTAACTTCGAGACTCCCCCCTTCTTCCTCTTTATGCTCTCTTTTTGGGTGCAAGTCCCAACTAACCTCTACTTGTCCAGCTACTGGCCAGTCAGCTTCCTTATTAAACCAAGCACAGTGACATATATTCACATAGTGTAAAGAAATATTCTACACCAGGTGGGTTTTGTTGCTTTCTCCAACCAGGAGGTAAACTCGGACTTTTTACCCTACAGAGAGA